TTCTCTTGTAAAACTCAGTGAGCATCAAAGCAAAATGATAGCTAGGAAGAATGCGTATCGTTATTACTAGGTGGGCCAATATTTCAGTGTCTCTAAAGGGAGAAGTATGACGAGTCCATTAGGCCAAATGGCCAATAGAATATTTCTAGACTTTCTTGGGTTGTTAGAACAGTTAGGCAAGCAGAACACTTGAATAGCCCAGAACAATTTGGCTTTCACAAAAGTACTCTCATAAATATATGGTAGCATTCTTATTACCCTGTATGATACCTACCCGTAATACTGGCTGTTAGAAATCCTGCTAAGTTTCCAATACTCAAGGCTCTTAACCCCATTTCTGAAAGGTCAGATCTACGAGAAGGAGCAAATGCGCCAAATGCACCCACATTTTTGTTTATGCCAATGTCACCAAGGCTTCCAAACCCACTAAGAGTATAGGTGGCGATACCTCAGATCTGATATCTCTGGATCTGGTCTGAAAACATTAACACATACACAGATGAGAGGCTGAGGCAAGGTCAACTTTGTCCCAACAACATGATGTACCCTTAATACAGGTTACCATGGTAACCATATCTCTTAATTAATTTAAGATGTAGCTATAATAATCTACATTTTCTCAAAATATGAGAGGGATATGTGAAAAATAGCAAAATGATAGCATTTCTATCAGAATATATTATTTTCTACATAGCGTGAGACGTTAATAAATATTTATACATACATATGGATCGCCCCTTGTATTAGATTAACTTTAAAATGTTATGTTTCTGGCTACAGCCCAAATTGCTGGAAAATTGTTCAACATCGATTTCAGCTCATTCAAGTAAGATCTTTTTGTATATTCCAATTATTGTGTAATGCAAACTAATGAAATTCAATTTTAAACACAGGTTATAAGAAATGCAAAAATGTTTCTAATTGGAGAACAAAGCAAATGGCTTCGCTTATGATTGGGATGACCTATAGATATAATAGAATATCCCTTGGAAGATGAGCCGTCTACATATGGCAACCTTATTATATATAAACGTTCCTATACTTCTATAACTTTCAAATATACATATTTTGTGGTCTGACCACGGCCTGTTGATTTCGTTGGGGACCGCAGAAATGAAATAAACAAAATTTATGAACAATATTCAGTACGACGTGATAATTTTGCGATTTCCACGTATCTCATCCTTTGATATTCCCTTGCAATGTTGCCCTGAACATATATATGGCTTATATTATATCAAAATGTTCGTCTTTGGATTTTCTTTTCGGAGATATGATTATTTTTCGTTTATGAGAATATGAAAGGATATTTGCCACGTTCGTAATTTGAAAAGATCTCAAAATTAAGGCGTCACGCGTAACAAATAGCGACAAGGAGATCTACTCCAAGAGGGCTATCACCAAAAATAGCCAACAGATCATTTAGTATTTCCAAGATTGTGATTACTCTTATTATTCAATATATAATAATATTATCGGAAGGATATACACAATGCTCGACTGGAATGAAAAACGCGAAAAAATCGTCACGCTCGAAAGGTCAAACCGTTGTGCTGTGGCAGAGTTTTCATTTAATGAAATTCAAAATCGATATAATTTTTTTGAGACATGCATTTTTTACAATAAACCAGAGTGACAAGACAAGAGCCATTTTTAGAATAAAATTAATCTAAATTCAACCCCTAAAATCTGCCTTATATGGAAATCAAATCGGAAAAATAGATTTCTATAAGTGATCTTTAATTGCTCCGCTGTCATTAGAAAATATATCATTCACTCATCTTGGAAATGTTCTATAAAATGAAACTGATCCTGATTTCATCAACCAATTGCATACCTACATTTACTCGAATCTGGTTAATTAATAACGCCAGTGTAGGAGATGGGGAATGAGTACCCTGCGTGCAGAGTCTAGTGTTTTATCGGCGAAAAAAACGCATCCTTATTTATATCCTTATTGCGGACAATATATTCAGCAGAATCAACCAGACTGACAAGACAAGGGACATTTTTAGAATAAAATTAACCTAAATCCACACATAACTAGGCAATGTGTGCCTGATTCCAGCAAATCCGAAGACGCTATTCCACATAACTGCATTACATTATATAAAAATCAACCAATTCAATGTCACTAGTTAAACGATTGTCAAGGTGACCACTGGACTCTACAGGTTGAAATTGATACTTTGCCAACTTGAGACTTGCAAAAAGTTTCATTGAAAATATGTCATATGTTATTTTATTGATTTGTTGGGTAGCTAAGAACACTTTTAAGCGTGACACACAGATATTGATATGATGTATGGGTCTGTAAAATCACGGACCTGTTTCTTAAGTCCACGGTAAAATGCACGTCGGATGTAATTATCCCACTGATTTGCTGAGACTGCCAACAGTATAATTATAGCTTATGGTTCAAAATATATAATCTATCAGCGGTCCCTACTGGCATACCTACTAGATATTACTAAACATAAATTGTTAATAATAATGTTTTCGAAAATCTCCGTTTAATACTCTAGTTTATGATGGTATGGCTACATCTAGTTACGCTTGATAGAAACTTATGAACACAACATACAACTGTGTATATCTAAAAGGTAAGGTTTTTATTCTTATTCAAAATTGATGTAGCATTGACATATTTGTAGAGTTGTGTAAACAGGGTTAGCACAGTGTCACAACACAGTACAACTCACGTGTTAATTGTTTTGTTCGTGGTATGACGAAAGTAGTACCATGGGCTCTAAATCTGAGGCCGAGGAATATAGTCCATGGTATGAAATCTCTAGGACGTCTAATAAAGTAGTTGGTAGCACACTATAGCGCAGCGATATTTGACCTTACATTAACATACCTACATATGTCCCCTAATAATTTTTATTATAACCGTTCAATATTCTTCCGGCTTTTAGGCTGAATTATGCCTGCATTAACAGAGGTAAAAATCACCAAAAAATAAAATCCCAATTTTCACAATTTGGAGTACACAATGTAACAGAAAATAATAAAAAATGATTTTAAATATATGATTTAGGTTTCTAAGCTATAAGTTTGAGGTTATTTTTCTTATCAATACCAAAAAATAAGTAATCAGTGTATCGACGTTTTGTATTGTTTCTCAGGTATTCATAAGATAAATGCTACAAATGAATCAATTTTAAAAAATGTTTAAATTATGCTAGTTTTTCACAAAAGGGGTCTCAATACGTTTTGAGATATGGACTTTTATTCAGCGGTGAAAATTTTCATATAAAGGCGGGTCTATTGCTCTTCCTTGACTAATTGGGACTACAGCTAAAATTCTATTTCCCGAAGTTAGATATACCTCAGTTGCTTATAAAACAACCAATACTTGATCGAATTCATCAATAATTGAGAAAAATCGTTATCATTATTTTCCTAAAATTTGATTGTATCCAGCGGTAAGGTCAAAGAACAAACAGCCATCAGAAAACTTGATGATAGCCACAAGTAACGTCGAGGAAGAATTTCAGGGCATTCGATTGCATATGACTCTTATTGATTATTACACATGCCCTTGGAATATATGAATATTCCAATACCTCTGTAACATTTTATTAGATATAAATCTTACCTATTTGTTATTGTATTATGTTTTGTAAAACATGAACAATAATTTGTTGTTAGACCCCTTGCGATTATATGGAAAAATTCTGGTAATAAAATGTTTTAAATGGTAAGAAAATTAATATGTTCCCAATCATAAATTTAAATTACCTAAATATTCCACATAATTTTGTTGAATCGGCTTGGCTCATATTTGAAAATCAAACAAAATCTGAAAAACACACTTGCATAATTACACTAATTAAACACCGACATCTACAGTAAAATTAAATAGTATATCTTTAAATTATGATAATTTATTTTTGTTCGTATGCTTAGAATAACGGTCTGTGTCTTATAAAATGTATAAAAGTTCGAATCAAAATATTTACGTTTTTTGACCCCTTGTGATGAAAGACATTTTTCGACCCGGAAGCCGGAAGTTTTTTCAGCAAATGGTATTTTAAAAGAATCAAGACATGTACACCTTCATAAATATTGATTCAAATGTTGCTGCGCTAGAGTGTGCTACGGATCCTTCATATTCGGAAGTCATACCATGGACTAATACGTTATAAAATGTTAATGTGGGATGTAACTATAGAAAATAACCATCAAGACCATTGAGCTCATGTTATAGTCCATGGCATGACTTCCGAATATGAAGGATCCTTAGCACACCATAGCGCAGCAACATTTGAAGCAATATTTATGGATGTACATATTATGTCTTGAATTTTTTTAAAATACCATTTGCTGAAAAAACGTTCGGCTTTCGTGTCGAAAAATGTCTTTCATCACAAGGGGTCAAAAAACGTAAATATTTTGATTCGAACTTTTATACATTTTAAAAGACACAGACCGTTATTCTAAGCATACAACAAAAATATTATCATAATGTAAAAATATACTATAATTTTATTGTAGATGTCGGTGTTAAATTAGTGTAATTACGCAAGTGTGTTTCAGATTTTGTTTGATTTTTCAAATATGAGCCAAGCAGATTCAACAAAATTGCATGGATAATTTGCTAATTTATGATTGGGAACAGTTTGCGATTGGGATTAGACAGTGTAATGATACTTTCCAGAAAAAGCAAGGAAATACACTCGTGCCTTCATACTTAATTAATTAGAAATTTTTTACCAAAATGTTACTTTCCAGCTGAGCCTTAAACCCAAATCATGGTCAAATTCTTTTTTTCAGGAACTTGCTTTTGGAGTGAATATACAGATTATAGATGTGAGGGTTCAAAAAGCATTTTACCTACAACTGTGCAAGGGGCATCATAACTCAGTGTAATTTATTTCAATATGGAACAAGGTAGTAATACTTCAATTGATGATAAATATGAAAATGTGTCAACTAATAAAAACATAACCAACAAAGCCGAGACAGATGATTCAACGACTCCTTTTACTCCCAATATGGAACCAGATGCAATCCAGAAAGATGTTGATAATAGTTCTGCTGAATCGCAGCATATGACATCTGAACAGAAGTTCACCCTCGTATTAATTTGTGTTTGTAATCTATTCCTAGCAACTTACTTCTCCATGCTTGGACCGTTCTTTCCACAGGAGGTAAGATTCTACAGCTTTTCCTCTAAAATGGGATCTTATCACACGAGGTTGGTTTCCACAAATATTATATTGTGACATACAGGGTGACCCAAAAATGCCACCCACTATTTTTGGAACGACCTTCTTAATAATGAAGGATTTTTATGAGTAAATATTATAGCTTACATATTTATCTTATAGTTTAGCCATGCATGGGCGCATGCGCAGTATTTATACTTTGCCGGCCACTTTAAGGCCATATGTGTTTTTACAGGCCAACAAGAAAGGAGCTTCAGAAACAATGACAGGCCTCATCTTTGGAATATATGCAATTGTTGTGTTTCTAACTTCACCGTTCCTTGGATCAACTGTGAGTAAAGTTCTTTTAAAAGTGTAAATAAAACAATTGAACACAAACGTGAACGGAAAATACTTAAGCGATGTATTTTTATGGGTTATTGGTCATACGTATAGGTTGGTGTTTCGATTTTATATATAAGCTTAAACTCTCTATTATCTGCATGGAAGAACCCGAGAATCAAAATTTTCAATAAAAATGTCAATTTATTTTGTTTTGTTTGTTAGGCAAGCTGTAATATTATACATGCCAATATGTTGTCACTGTTCAAGATGCCTATCACATTCATAGTGTATTACATTATATTTGTGGGATGTCTCACTCTTAGTTTCTTAGATGTTGCATACTCTTTGCATTTAGAACCAGTAAGTACAAATGGCACCGTACAGAGCAGATTGGGATCTATCCCCTTATGATTATATGTAATCTTATTGTCATAAAACTTTTTAAAGTGTATTCATGTTTTTGGATGAAAAAACTCATCCTACAAACAACTCGCGGTCCTTTGCAAAAATTGATGGATTCTAATTCATAATTACATCCCATACATGGATATAGAGGGTGACACAAAAAATGCCACCCACCCACTTGTTTTCAGCATATCTGACTTGTTCTTTAGCACATTGAACTCAGGCTCTATGAAGCATCTTCACAAGAACTTTTAGATGAATAGCTCAACAAGATGCACCTTTATGTGCGTTAATATTTTCTAAATGTCCACAGGCACACCTGGATTCTGGATTCTAAACAAAATGCCATCCACCTTTTGTAACATTACTTCGTAAATAAGTTCTGATGACAACTTTATCATCTTGAAATCAATTAAATTGACATTTTCCTTGTAAGTCGAGCACATCTTGTAACGCTCAAAAATGTGCATTGCCAAATAATTGGCTGGTCATCTGAAACTTCTTGTGGAGTTGCTCTATTGAGCTTAGTTTTCATGTGCTAGAGGACAAGCCAGACGTCATGTAGAAAAAGAAATCAGTATTTGGCACATGTGAGTGGCATTTTTTGTTTGGCAAGCATTAAACAATGACTCAAAATCAACTATAATATGATGCCCAGACTTTATGACTATTTATTCCAGTTCCATTTAAGTCCACTCTTGCTTGGCATTGTGTTCCTTGTGGCACCCGCGGTATATGCCTTGACAGCCCCCTTTCTTGGCTGGATCATGGACAAAAAGGTACATGTACAGTTATTCAACAATCTCTCAATAAAATGTAAAACTAACTTTTTTAGTTCAGCTTTTTATCAAAATTTCTTACTTAGGAGAGAATTACACAGCCCCGAATCCAGTCCATTACGAGACCCTGATTGTCATAATCAGCCAGTTACATAATGATCGAGGTATCATTTGATTAAGAACAAACGGATCCTCCTTTGAATTACAGAATTTAAACTCAGGATTCAAGTAAACCACTTTTGAAGTTGGGTTCACTTTTCTCATGGACACTCTGTATTTTATGGGCAACTCATTTAAATATGAATAGATAGGGTAGGGAAATCTGGGACCCCTTTCATCAATATTGATACCTTTTTATGTGAACTTACTCTAAACAGTTCCTTAAATGTATGCTGAGATCTTTCCAAAGACATCTTTGTTCAAAAATCTCTGTTAAAAAAGATTTATCATGAACTTAATACACTCAGATATTTCCAATAGAATTAACATCTTTAACCTAACCTAAAACAGGTTTAGAATGGTATCATGATTTAAAACATGTTATAGACATCTCTAAAGTTTAGGCAATATGGGGTGCCATGGTTGTGAACTGAAAAACGTACACTTACATTTTCACTCTTTGACAATAAATGTATGCAACCGGCTTAGTGCTTAGTTTGTTATTATGCCTCATGTTATTTTCTGTCATTTTGTAGGGCTGGTGTAAAAGTGCGATGGCTTTAGGAGGAATGTTGATTTTAGTATCATTGTCATTAATAGGGCCAGTGCCATTTCTGTCTCTACCTATGTAAGAACATATTTGGACTAACTATATAATAAAAAATCCCTCTTGAATGGTTATGAGAGGAGAAATGAGCAACATATAATATCGTATTTTAGATCAATGTGTTAAAATATCTGAAAGGTATATATACGTACAGTATATTCCCGACTTAGTACAATACCCTTATAAAAAATTCCGAAATTCCTTGAAAGTCCGAATTTAAACCGTTTCCATCAATCATTGAATACTGATTGTTTCAACTACTAAGATCAAAGGAAAAACCATTGTACGGTGATAAGCAATCATTGTGCAACCATTGCGTTCAACCAAACAAAGTCAACTCTTTTTCAATAACTGCGCAACCATTTCTATACAATCATTGTAATCTGCGACCATTGTAAACTGCAACCATTTCACATTGAAATGTAAATGGTTGCAATACGTTTTGTTCAATGATTACATAGTTCAAGCCCTGCAACCATCCTGAATTGGTATCGTTCCAAAAAAGTAATCATTTTACTTGAATTAAAATTATCTTTAAGTAAGGATTTGAATCTACCTCTATTCACAACAGTATATTAGGATATTTTTTCTGCAAGCATACATGCATATGTTTATTATAGTAAATTACTAAATTCATGTTCATATGTTTCTTTCTCCAGTACGGATTTAGGAATGCGATACCAGACTAGTTTTCCACTCAATGGCATATGATAATTTATGTTCTCTGTCATTTACATTATTTACACAATTAAAAGTACCATATCTAGTGTTTATTTCCCATTATCTGATATTGCCAAAATAATGTATTTTTAATGTTAATTATGAAAAGAATTGAGCAAAATTCCAATTTGGTTAAGAAATTGACCAAGGAAAATCTTAAGATTTCCTTTAAACTTGATCACAAGATGAGACACCATTGTTTTTGTTCATGATTAGACTGATATACATGTATGATCAAAAGAAGCAGGGTATGATGTACAAAATAATACAAACATGTAATCACAAGTTGATTGCTTTATTTAGTGAAATTTTTTTTATAGTAATAATGCATTCAGGCACCAAAGACTTAATTTTCACAGTTTCAATGGAAAACATCTGAATTAATAATTTCAGTAAAATTTTGTCAAGGTAGATGGATTATTGCTATACCCATGATATACAAATAGATTGGTTTGGGAACATATTGATATCGGAGGGTTTAGCTCAGGACCCCCGCAAAAGTTTATATACAATGAACAGGCCAGAAGTCAGCCCCCCCCAGCAAAATGGGTCTTCAAATGTATCCATGTGTAGTTAACACCAAATATCAAGAGTATGACTCACTAAAATTTAAAAAATACAAACAAGAGGACTATTTTGATATTGACTGTATATTATGTGTGAAACACATTTTCACAACAGATTTAATTACCATGTTCTTTCAACACAACAATACCTACTACATATTGATATTCTCATGGGTTTAAGAAAATCAAAATGCTTGAACAGCCAATTAAAACGGTTGAACAGCTAATCAAAACGGTTGAACAGCTAATTAAAACGGTTGAACGGCTAATTAAAATGCTTGACCAGAAAAAGGGTTCATAGTCCTAGTTTCTGTTATATCTATTTTCATCTTGTGTTATACTATATATTTATTTTAATTATCTTTTTCATGCAGAGGGGGAGGGAGTTAAAATTTAAAAAGTGTTTTCAGATTTTTGATGGTTTATTTCTTTATTCAATTACTTCAATAAGTGCTGAGAAATCTCAAATAGCAAGTATATGAAACTGTAAATAATATTTTCAGAATTTTTTATTTCATTTTTATTTAGTTTGTTTTACCATAGGCATTCAATAGATTGAAAGTCCATGGTTTTACTTTATTCACTAGGGCAGAGCATTTGTACTGAAAAGTGTTTTCAGTTTAAATGATATGTGTTGATGATTAAAAAATAAAAACCAAAAACAGGGCTTATTTTTCAAAACTCTAAACTTGGAAAAATCTGGAGGAAAATAAGGGAGATTTTCTTTGGCAAATTATTTATCAAGTTCTGTGTATGAAATAATTTAAATTACATAGGATGCTTCCTTTATAGCAGACTCTAATCAAACTGATATAATAAGGTTTGTTTTGCCTTGCCGAATTATTTTTGTTTTGTTTATGGATTAATAAAGCTTCTTTAGACACATCCTTCAAAGCAGACTCTAATCAAACTAGATAGACTGAGTCTAACTGTAATCAGAGTTTTTTAAGTTATGCTTATCAACTTAATTATTTAAAACACATCCTGTAATGTCTGATTGCATTTTCTCTATCAAATCAAAAATATCAAATCAAAACAGATTATTTTCCCATTGAAGGATTTCTTCCTTCCAGACACATCTTCCTTCCTTTATAATTGCGATGATTGCAAGGTGAAGTGTAAAATCCAAGACTTGACCCAATCAAATTTTTTTCAAATGATTTTGCAATAACTTAAAAAGTAGTGAAGTGATTTTGTAAAAATGATAGTCATGACAGCGAGGGGGATTTGCTATGCCTTAGCATTGCTGTTAGATGATAGTTTACTTAACTATTTCAATACTTTAAATATCTTTTTGATCAAAACCATTTAAATTCTGACATGTACAGTATGCATGAAATAGAAATACACACATTTGAAATATATTTTTTAAAGAGCAAGATAATTATTTTATGTTGTATTGAGATAAAATTGCCATAGTTTTAAAGGGTTGCATTCGATTGAAACGGTTGCAAGAAATGCAACTAAAATTGTCAAGCGTTTACAATGATTACATATGATTGAAACATTTCACTGAGTTTACAACCAAAATTGTAATGGTTGCATTGTAACGGTTGGCATGGTTGTAAAAATGATCGGATCAATGATTGTACAATGATTGTGCAACGGTTTAAATTCGGACTTTCAAGGTTGAATTTTTTATAAGGGTAATGATTGATGTTATTTAGTGACAGTTTTATATATTTTGATTTAGATTATAAAAGTATGTTTGTATGTAGATGTACCATTGCTCTTTATGGCCAACTCATTTAGATATGAATATGAATCTACTGGTACTGTTCATATTTAGATGAGTTGGCCATAAAATAGCAATCAAAGTTGATACCTGAAAAACCTAGTTTTCTTTATTGCTTGTATTTTTCTAGGGAATCGCTCTGGTTGAATGTTGTGGGCAATGTAGTGCTAGGCTTAGGTATTTCTCATCTTCTAGTCCCCCCACTCCAGGAACTTTTGGTTGCTGCATTGTGAGTGAGATGTTCTTCTTTAACTACCTGTCTGTCAGTCGGTCAGTCGGTCCGCCCCCCCCACACCCACCCACCTGCCTGTTTCAATAACATATCTGGAAAAAATTCAAAATTCATTTTGTTCAAAAGGTTTTATTTGTGATTTGTTTATACCTTATATTTGCTATTTCAAAGAAAAGTATGATACGTTTGCTTTGAATCTGAGAGGAAGCCCCAAAACAACCAGCCCAACCACAATTGAACAATACGAGGGTGGTCCCAGAAGTAATGCACAATTGAAGTTTTATCTCTTATAGCATGAAGTTTCAACATCAAACATTGATATTAAATCTTAATATGGTTTCTATCGCAACATGGGGTAGGGGTGGGCGGGGCAGGTACCAATTTTTCTTATTATGACAAGATCCAAAGTGTTATTTTATTAATATTTCTTTCTTTAAATTATCAAAATGTTTCAGAAATCGTTAAAGTTATTCAGCATGATCTTAACCAAGTACAAATAATGTCATTTAGCACTGTGATGTCATAATACCACAATTCAATAGTCACAAATTCAAATACAGTCACAGTCAAGAAGTTGCAAAATGGCTGCAATTCTCACCTGATAACAGAAGACCTTGATTTTGGTGGCCTACTTCATTTTGATTCAAAGCCACGCAAAACTTATGCTACCATGAAGAAAGTATAAAAGGAGTATATACTAGATAGAACTACAATTATGAGGTGGCAGAAGAGATTTAAAAGAAATGTCTGGGCCCTGGATGACAACTCGAAACATGGGAGACAAAAACTCGAAAGTCACAGTAGAAGAAATTGCCAAGTCTGTCTGACCTAACAGGCATCAAAAGTACATAAACATGCAAAGGGCCATGTTTTGAGAAAATGTGAAATGGGATACTGTGCAATATACATCCATTAAATCTAGGATGTGCTCAAAGTAATTTAGTATCTTATTATGTATTTTTGAGCATACTTCTTATCGCTACACAAAATGGTATTTGTTGATTAATTATTTCATATTTTCAATTTTTTTTATTCCTTGCGACGTGACTGTATAACCTGCCCCGCCCTACCCAAACTCACCAACTTGATTTTATTAGGAGGCCCCAACGGGGGGCCTCCTATTAATTTTATAGATATTATTCTTTATTTCTTTATTTATTTATTCTTCCTAAACCTTTTTCTCCTACTTCCAACTACCTTTCAACTATCTACTATATGCACCTACTAGGGACCTTGGCTGAACTTGGCGGGAAAGGAATTTTTATCTAGGTCAAGGTCAAAGGTCAAAATGTAGGTCAAATCTAAGTTTTTTTCAAGTTTCTCAAATCCTGACACTACACTTCAATATTTTTGGCTGAATTTTTGCATACAGATAGATATTAGTATTCTATTAGTCTTAGCCTTTTGCCGTCTAGAGAAATTTTGCCTAGATTTTGAGATATTGAAGGTCAAAAAAAGGTCAAAAAAGGTCTTTTTTCAACTTGCTTCAAATTGACCAATTGTTTTTTTAAAACTCATCTACAAGTTCTAAGGATTCTAAATCTGACCTTACTTTTGACCTTTGACCTTTCGTTGACCTTCAGTGACCTCCGAAAGGTCAAAAAAGTTGATTTTTCAAATCGATTTTCTGGATTCAAATTTAGGTATATTTATTCACAAAAGACCTTCTGAGGTCTAAAAAAGTAAAATTTGCAAGGTCAAAGGTCAAGGTCATCAAACGAAATCACAAACTGTGTTTTCTAAGTTTCTCAAAATTGGAGACTACAAATCAATTTTTTTTCCTGAAAGTCAGAATATATATTCCTCTAAAGGTTCTACACATATTAGCAATTGACTATTTATTAAAATTTTGCTCCAGTTTTGAGATATTAGAACTCAAAAACTGAAAAAAGGTAAACTTTCGAAATTTTTCAAGGTCAAATCTCAACTTGCTCTAAATTGACCAAACTTTTTTTTATAAAGCATCTACAAGATCTCAGGAACTCAAATCTGACCTTAGTTTTGACCTTTGACCTTTGGTTGAACTTCAGTTACCTCAGAAAGGTAAAAAAAAGTTGATTTTTCAAATCGATTTTCTGGATTCAAATTTAGGTGCATTTAATCACAAAAGAACTTAAGAGGTCTAAAAAAGTAAAATTTGCAAGGTCAAAGGTCAAGGTCATCAAACGAAATCACAAACTGTGTTTTCTAAGTTTCTCAAAATTGGTGACTACAAATCAATATTTTTTCATGAAAGTCAGGATATATATTCCTCTATAGGTTCTACAGATATTAGCAATTGATTATCTATTAAAATTGTGTACCAGTTTTGAGTTATAAGAACTCAAAAACTGAAAAAAGGTCAAATTTTGAAACTTTTCAAGACTAAATTTCAACTTGCTTCAAATTGACCAATTTTTTTTTTGAAAATCATCTACAAGTTCTCAGGAACTCAAATCTGACCTTTCTTTTGACCTTTGACCTTTGGTTGACCTTCAGTGACCTTCGAAAGGTCAAAAAAGTTGATTTTTCAAATTGATTTTCAGGATTCAAATTTAGGTATATTTGATCGAAAAAGCCCCACCGAGGTCTAAACAAGTAAAATTTGCAAGGTCAAAGACTCAAAGGTCAAGGTCATCAAACTAAATCACAAACTGTGTTTTCTAAGTTTCTCAAAATTGGAGACTACAAATCAATATTTGTTCATGAAAGTCAGGATATATATTCCTCTATAGGTTCTACACATATTAGCAATTGACTATTTATTAAAACTGTGTACCAGTTTTGAGATATTGGAACTCAAAAACTGAAAAAAGTCAAATTTCGAAACTTTTCAAGACTTAATTTCAACTTGCTTCAAATTGACCAATTTTTTTTTTAAAACTCATCTACAAGTTCTCAGGATTCCAAATCTGATCTTACTTTTGACCTTACTACTTACCTCCGAAAGGTCAAAAAATTTGATTTTTCAGATCAATTTTCTGGATTCAAATTTAGGTATATTTATTCACAAAAGACCTTCTGACGTCTAAAAAAGTAAAATTTGCAAGGTCAAAGGTCAAGGTCATCAAACGAAATCACAAACTGTGTTTTCTAAGTTTCTCAAAATTGGAGACTACAAATCAATATTTTTAAATGAAAGTCAGAATATATATTCCTCTACTAAAGGTTCTACACATATTAGCAATTGATTATCTATTAAAATTTGGCTCCAGTTTTGAGATATTATAGCTCAAAAACTGAAAAAAGGTCAAATTTCGGAATTTTTCAAGGTCAAATTTCAACTTGCATTAATTCGACCAAACCTTTTTAAAAAATCATCTACAAGTCGTCTGGAGTTCATATATGACCTTGTATTAGAGATTTGACCTTTGGCTGGCCTTTGAATGTTCAGAAACGAATATAGGGCCTCCGTAAGATTGCTTGCAATCTTAGATCGTTAGATCTCTAGTTATACCTATCAATACAGTTTTATCAGTCAACATGAAAATTTGTAGCATGATCAAAATGTCTCTAAGGAACATTTACTGAAAATTTCATGGAAAAGTATCAATTATTGATAAAGTTAGAGCATATAGTGCATTACTTCTGGGACAACCCTCGTACTATGGAGAAATTCACTATATCCTTTGATCTTTTTATTCATCATGTATAGAATATAATCGGGCTTTAGTTATAACATTATGTCTTTTTTCATTTTCAGTGAAAGTGGATACCCTGACAATCTTGAAACTTATGGAATAACTTCAGGACTTTACACATCAGCTTATTCTATTGGGTAAGACAGATCAGAATTCCAAATTCAAATGTATGTAGTGATAAGAATTTAATCCTCTATCAGTGCCAAGTTAGTTTTGTTTGACTAGACAATCTACTAGATGGTACCAAGTTGAAAACGTCATTTGAATGGTCTGTATTCTCATTGGCTTTTAATTACGCAGCTAATTGCGTCATTTAAAAAAGCCGCTTCTCCATCGGTCAACGTAAACTTTATGGTGAACTTTTTATTCATAAAATTGTAGTACATGTATCACGAAAAATCTTATCTTTCTACTATACCTGTCATGCTATCTGACCCAAATGAGCCACCTGGTGGTGAAACTGGTAACTGCCTACTCGCATCTAAGTTATTGAAATATTGATATAAACAAAGCACTGCACACGAATCCCTTAACAATCAGGAGCATTAGCCTGCTCACAAGGAAATCTGAAATACTCAAAAGAGTAGACTCGTGGAAAGGGCCACAGGTCCTCATGTAGACCCCATGTTGTAAAATCACAGAAAGTGAAATATCTTCTTGTATTGGGCAGATAATTCTTTTACTGGACATATCTTAATTTGTCAAACTATCAGATACATAAGGGTAATACCCTGCCACTTTATTTCCCCCGAATCAGCCACCTGGTGGCGAAAGTGGTAACTACCTTCTCGCATCTGAGTATTTTTTTTAATTTTAAATGGTTGCTACTTAAGTTTGCCATACGTTTAGAAATCTAATAATGTGCAGTTGAAAAAATTGAAAACGTCTACAACTTTGAAAATATGCTACCATGTTAGCCAAGTATGGTTCTTTTTGTTAGATGCGCATGATGTCATTTAATTTGGGTGTTATTTCTATGATTTTCATAAAAATGATTTTTAGCCCAGTAGATTGTTCTCCAAACCGAGACTAATTGTCTTTTGTATGTAAACCTCTGATTATTCCGGTGATTTCTTTAACGAGTTTATCCCAAAGGTCTATAGCTTGAATAACCCAACCGCAAATTGTTGCTCCAGGTAAAATGTTTGGAATAAATCAGTGTATCCAATTACTGTGAAATAATATTTTCTTCTAAAATTGTTGAATTTCTGATTCATTTTTCAGAGGATTTGCGGGTGCCATTGGAGGCGGATCTTTATTAGATAAAGTAGGTTTCCCATGGACAGCATTTATTATGGGTCTTGTGGGAGCTTCGTGCACATTACTTCTGGCCTTATATCATCTTACAACAAAGTTTTGTTGTAAGTCCAAAGATGAGATACCTGGAGAACACATTCCTTTGATTCCATAATATGCTGCATGTTTTTGATATCAGCTTATTTTTGGACAATGCAATGTCATGATTTGGATTAAATTTACAACGATAAGATACCTGGAGAACACATTCCTTTGATTCCATAGTATGGTGAATGTTTTTGATATCAGCTAATTATTTTTGGACAATGCAATGTCATGATTTGGATTTTTACAACAACATCACGGAACTGCGGCCCGAGAGGTGTAAAACTTAGGACTCAGTAAAAAATATTATGTTCGGTACAACAGAAATAGTTCACTTTTCATTAGTATTTAAATTATCAAAATACATTTTTGTCTGTAGATATAGATCTATTTTCTACAAATCGGACTCTGTGTTGTCATATTTAGCTCCTTTGACCTCAACTCAAATACCACTTGACGGATTTGGTTTAAATATATAATATGTTGATTCCCCAGGACAAAGGAGGTCTATTCAAGAGGACATTTGCAAGGGCCTGCTACGGGGTGACCCAAAAAATGCCACCCATTAATCTTGGAAAAACTTTCTCAATAATAAAGGAATCTAGTGATTTTTTTTGTGTAGAGTGTTCAATGGATCAAAGATTGTTGTACTTGGATAGCATCAACGACTTTCAGATCTAGAGACATCACATTTGCCGTCCAGGCATGCTCTCGGTGAAATCACCAAAAATGTTCAAAAATATAATTTTCTGAAATTGAGATTTCTGTCTTAGCCGTGAGAGACTTTAACACACTTCTCTCCTATTCAAAGACTAAATATTAAATATTTTTATGCTAATGTCCAAATTTTTCGAATGCTCTACTAGGTAATATTAAAAATGATCCACTCCACTAAATATATTCAAATCTGCATATAAAAACTACTCATCCATGGATATTGCATCTTATACTATACTGTATTGATTTTTCTACATTGTATTTTTTAAGATTAATTGTAAATACTATTACTGTATTAGTCTATCTGGGGATCAAAGTGCGTCAATCAAACGCAATAAGTTGTCAATTCTGCGTCAGACTTGATCAAATGTGCGTAAAAACGGTAAAAAACGGCGCTTTTGTATTATATTATATTATCAAAACGTTCGTTTCTACAACGTTTTTTGTGAAACGATGAAATTCAATTTTCTATTTTTAACCATTACCCTTTGCTTGATAAAATAATAACCTACTGTATGAGAAAAATAAAATGTGTCTTAGCTACAGTAGATGATGGAGTAAAGTCTTAGTTTTCGTAAAGAAACCGATGCCCAATGTAAAGGTTACATGCATCGCTTCTCCCATAAAGTTATACACATTCTTTGCTGTTATTAAAAATAAACGTAAAAATAGGAATACAACTAGCTTTTGATGCATCAATACTGTATATTAATATGGCCGATGTATTGGAGGATACAAATATTTGACAAATCGTATACATATAGTAAAACATACTTAATTATGTGACTAAGACATATCAAACATCTTGCTTTCAAGAGTTGGTAGGACATACTTTCTATTAACATGCTCAAAAATATCAACGCAATCGATACATTTTAGGTTAAGAAATCCGAGTTTATATTTGCTGAAAAAATAAAATATTTCTTAATTGCCTAAAATCCATCATTAAAGTGATATATTTTATAAAGATAATCAATATTCCAAACAGGTACCTTGTGGTAATAATTACTTAAAGTCTGGTCAACAAAAAATAACATATTGCATGTCCATGAAATCAACATATTTGTCGCAGTATCTAGTACAACGACAGACTTTTAAAATATCAATTATCGTAAATTGTCCCATATATGAATGTTGGATAGCATCTACCAAAGTTTGTATAACATTTTCAAAAGTTGTATGCTTTTTTTAAAAGCTAAAAGCTATCCTTATTCGAAATTACATCTTCATGATTATAACATTGTCTAAAGAAGCTTGTATGATATTTCTAAAAATCTTCTCTATTATTTAAAAGTTATACATCAGTATACATACAGTTCTTGGAGTTCTTAGAATAAGGGTGGATCTCAATTTGAACAGGTTGATCTGATTTGATAGAGATTTTTGGGGACAGTTTGATTATATGGAACACTACCCTTGCCTCTCTTATAACCACGTATCTGCATTGGCAAACAAAGGAATGTGTAAGTGATCACTTTAATGGCTGCAGTGAGGGGTGAATATGATCTACTGCTGTGGTCTGAAATAAATGTTTCTCCAGGAACTGTCGATACACATCAGATCAAAGTTAGTTACAACATCTAATTACATTTACATGATTCATAAACAATGCATATTCAAGCATTTAGAAATACATATTTAGTTGCACTAAACTACACCCATCATAAAATATTCTTTGTCTGGGGGTGGGATGATTTCACCAAGGAGAGAATTCTCACAGATGTACATGTGCACCTTGGGACAATAGCAGTATATTTGTCTTCCAATAAACAAAGGCTTTATAATTAAATATTTCAGAGTGTCATACAAAGTTGATAGTGAACGAAATTAAATTCAAGTGAAAGAGTAAATCTGGACAACATGCTACCGAGCGTGCAAACTTAATTTACAACTCTGTAAGACAAACATTCAAATTTTTATGACAGAGGGCTATAATGGCCAGAGCATTGAATTAAGATCTGAATGCAATGATTTATGAACTGGGAATTTCAAAGAAATTATGAAACCAACACTATTTGACTTAACTAAAATAGTGAACATTTAAATATGACCCAGTCTAAATATTTTTGACATCCCTAAAATATAAATATAAAACAGAAATAGTGCATTTCTGTTACACTGCTCCCCTCTTGGTCTGATCGTTTTGATGGCTGAAACATTTGCCAATACAGACTTACGTTTTGATAAGTCCATGTGAACACTTCCTACTACGCAATCAGTTATCAATATAGGGGTATGCCCATATGTACTCCATGCATTATAGCTTCAGTGTTAGTTGAGGGTTCTGTAATCTGATTATCAAAATAATATCCGACATGAAGTTTTGATTTATTTTCGGGTCCATCATTCTCTATATTAGCTGACCCCTGACCCTCAGGATGAGCTACTGCTCGTTTTCCGACCTCCAATTCTGATTCAAACATCTTCGTGATGAGCCCCCTGGTACCGGGTACAGTTGAAACATTTTATACGGTGATTATAAGGTTTTGGGTAATCATATACGAAGGTTGGTAAATTCTCCTGTGTTGGATAGGGATAGGGTCTTGGGAGATGTTTTTTATCAGTATATGAGGCAAGATGCTCCAATGCCTGACATAATGTGAGTAGTAAGGGGTATACCATGAACTTTTGAGACCAAATTAAGCACCGTGACCCGGGATTTAAAGCGTTCTGATTGGCCAATTTAAGCCACGTGACTACGCTCTGATTGGTCAATTTTGACCACGTGACTGACCTTATTAATCGCGCCGAACGAGGTTAATTAAATCCGACGGCTGGCTGATTGGTAATCGATAATCTGACCGAGTCCGTACTTACCGGTACGTTTCTCGTCCGTTTATTATGTATCTCGACAGCTGCGCGATCTAATTAATGAGATGACCTCGTAATTGCAAAATGATAATCGATAAACCCTCTCGGAACGTACTTGCCGGTACATACTTCAATAATTAAGTGTTTTGATGGTTGTACATGTGCGAATAATGTATCGACCTCGTTAATTACTTCAGCGGCTAGGGCGAAATGGCCGTCAATCGATAATCTAGCTTCAGTATTGTGAATAGGTTAATTAATAATCGAGACAGTCTTTAAACGGATATATTGATAAATAAAAGTTTACTTAGGGCAAAAAAGTAGATTCCCTGTTTTGTCCCCCTCGCTTTCACAATGAGATCAATTACATCTTGAGAATTTTTGGGGGAATTTTGAAATTTATTTATTTTTATTTACAAGTATAGCCTCGCAAAAATCTTATTTTACATTGTTCACTTATTTCAACATCCCGAGTCCATATACGACTATATAATGTCAGAACATTACATATTTATCCAACAATCTTTTAACCCTCGCGTAAATTTTCGATTTTATTTTTCATTTTTTCACTTATTGTCTTAAGTCCACATAAAGAATGAAAGATGTAAGCGCGCTTCATTTTTGTCATTTTACCCTTACAAAAATTTTCATTTTTTCATTTTTATTTATTTCGACATCCTTAGACCGTATACATACTACAACATGTCAAAACACTTCATTTTTGACCAACAAACGTTTTACCCTTACAAAAATTTTCAATTCATTTTTTTTTCATTTTAACTTATTTCAATATCCTAAGATCGTATACATATTATAACATGTCAAAACACTTAATTTTCGTCAGGCTAATGTTTTACCCTCGCAAAATTTTTCGATATTTTATTAATTTTCACTTATTTCAGCAGTCCGAGTCTGTATAAAGACTAAAAGATGTTAGCACGCTTCATTTTTTGTCCAAAAAATGTTTACCCTTACAAAAATTTTCAGTTTTATTTTTTTATTTTTAACTTTTTTCAACATCCTAAGCCCATATACTCGCTATATGATCTCTAAACGCTTCATTTTTGTCAAAAAATTTTACCCTTACAAAAATTTTCATTTTTTCATTTTTATTTATTTCGACATCCTTAGACCGTATACATACTACAACATGTCAAAACACTTCATTTTTGACCAACAAACGTTTTACCCTTACAAAAATTTTCAATTCATTTTTTTTCATTTTTTACTTATTTCAATATCCTAAGATCGTATACATATTATAACATGTCAAAACACTTAATTTTCGTCAGGCAAATGTTTTACCCTCGCAAAATTTTTCGATATTTTATTAATTTTCACTTATTTCAGCAGTCCGAGTCTGTATAAAGACTAAAAGATGTTAGCACGCTTCATTTTTTGTCCAAAAAATGTTTACCCTTACAAAAATTTTCAGTTTTATTTTTTTATTTTAAACTTTTTTCAACATCCTAAGCCCATATACTCGCTATATGATCTCTAAACGCTTCATTTTTGTCAAAAAATTTTACCCTTACAAAAATTTTCATTTTTTCATTTTTATTTATTTCGACATCCTTAGACCGTATACATACTACAACATGTCAAAACACTTCATTTTTGACCAACAAACGTTTTACCCTTACAAAAATTTTCAATTCA